CTGGCAAAATGAAGTGGAGCGCTGGGGAAACATCTGCCTCTTTCATCTTGCACACATCATCATCTCTTTTTAACGACCTCATCATCCTTGGCGGGGTGGAGTCTGAGCAACTGAATGGAGCTAGCAGAGTGTTTCAATGGCCGGATGCCCTACCTGTCACCGATACGGAGTTTTGTTCAGCGGATATATTCTCAGTGTGCCCGGGGAAGAGAAATATCTGCCTCTACTTAGAGTCGAACTCACAGCCTCCTGATTGTGAGGCAAGAACTCCACCTCTAGGCATCCCCCGGACAAAAAGGGGAATTCTGGGAGTTGGAAGTCCACCCAGCTTCAAGTTCTCAGGTTGAGAATTCAGGCCTGTCTAGGAGTTCCTCGGCGTTTTTTTTATGGTCTGATGGTTTCCACCATCAGGTTTCCACCAAAACCAGGACATAAAATAGTCAAATGTTCTTAGCTTGGTACTCCTTGGTGTAGAATCCTAAACGTTTGGGGTAAGTATGGAGGGAGCATGGAGCAATGTAAGGGATTTTGTAAGCAATTCAGCCAAACCAAGGAGCAGGCTCCAATCTCTGCAATATTTGTAAGATGCAAATACTGCAAGATATTTTTCCAATTTCTCAATAATTACACAGAAGTTGTTGCTGCTGACATTATGTTTTAATAAAGAACCACTGTTAGGAATTCACAGAGGTAACGCTAGGTACTGAGCAGATTCTCAGAGGTTTTGGAAGTCAGGAGCCATGTTAACGAGGGAAGGAGGAAGAGAAGCTAAATCACGGTTAGTTTAACCATGGTTTATTGCATCAGCCACAATCGATTGAATTTTCCCATCATCAAATCAAATACCTTGGCAACCGGTAAAATTTCGATGTTGGGAGAAGAACTGTAGCCAGTTAGCAAAAAAAAACACGATTGAAGCCCAGGATAAAAAGAGGACATTAGAAAGAAACTCAAGAGTTCAGGGCCTCGATTTTCCTTTGTAGAGGAGGAGGGAAGGAGGGAAAATATTTTGAGATGAGGTCGCTGTAGCCACATCACTTGTGAGGATCTGTTTCCTGACTTGATCGACCGGGAAGGATCGGAGATCCGTGGTGAATCAAAATGAAATGAATCCCATTCAAAAGGAGGATCCGATTTTGCCAAACAGAATTCCCAGAATCTGGCTTTGTCATTGATTTTGCTTGTCAGAATGTCACAAAAGAGGATCCCAGGACCCTGGGACAGTGCAACTGTCGTAAGTACATGCCAGTTGCCAAGCATTTTCAATTTTGACCATTAAGGGCGGGGGTGTGTGTGTCTAAATTATTAAAGATATGCAATATTTCCTCTTAAAGAGTAATCGGTTTTATGGGGATGGAGGGAGTGTAGGGACAAATTAGCAAAAGCCTCCAAAATCTTAACTCTTTCATCCCAAGGAATACAAAGAGCAATTTAGTGAAGTCAGACAGAAGGATTTTACGTTAAGTAGGATCACCAGCATAATCACCAATGTCCAGTGACGGATATGGCATGGGAAGAATGTTAAATACTGCATTTCACTTTAAAAAATACTAATAACAGTGGTGCATTGTTAAGGCATGTGATTAACATTATATATGTGTGTGTGTGCATGTGTGTGTATGTATTTATATATATATGTATGGCATTCAGCTTTGTTCGGGTATTTTCCCACGTCATTATAGTTGTGCTTTTAAAGTTGTAGCAACGTTTCGGCAGAATCTCATCAGCCATCATCAGGCTTCTGTATTTATATATATGTATATGTATATGTATATGTATATGTATGTATGTATGTATGTATGTATATATATATATATATGTGTGTGTGTGTGTGTGTGTGTGTATACGTGTGTGTATATATATATATATACACATGTGTGTGTGTGTGTGTATGTATATATATATGTGTGTGTGTGTGTGTGTGTGTGTGTGTGTGTGTGTACACACACATATACGCACACTTTGTGCTGTTTCAGCATACATTCATTCCATTTATATCCTTTCTTTTGTGAAGGGCCAGGATTTGAGGAGGAAACTGTTCTCGTGCTATTTTGTAACGCCGCACAATTCCAAAGGAAAGACTTGCAAAGAAGCCGACTGATGAATATTTTTTGTACAACCACAGCTTTAAAAAATAATAATAATAACAATAATAATAATAATTAATAGAGCAGCTCTAGAAGATTGATGGCTCTTTGGCCAGGAAAAGGAAACAATCAGGCTGCTGGTGAAAGTCGTCTAATTGTAGCTTAATTGTTCTTGGAGGGAAAAAAAAAAGTCTAGCCAAAAAAAAATTAGCGTGGACGAGTAGCGGCCTGCCAGATCCAAACATCCCACTGAGTATGGCTAGGAAAATGGAAAAGTGCCGGGAAGAAAAGCTGGAATTTAGCAGCTATAGTGGTAGATATATGAAAAGATTTGCAAGGTGTCCTTTATATACCAGGGGTGTCCAACCTTGGCAACTTTTAAAAGACTTGTGGAAGTCAACTTCCAGAAATTCCTCGGCAGGTGTGTGGCTGAAGTCCGCAAGTCTTTAAAATTGCCAAGGCTGGACAGACCTGCTTTATACCCTTAAACAAGGCGCCTCCTTCCCGGAGAATCTAGGGATCTATGCATTTTCTCTATCAAGAAAATCTATGTGGGAGGAAATTGGAGCATGCTTTTTGGGGAAAAGGTGTTCAAAAGGTGTGGCTGCTCCAAGACTTGGAGGCTTTTAAGAAGAGACTGGACAACTATTTGCCTGGAATGATATAGGGCAGCGTTGGTGAAACTTTTCGGCACCGAGTGCCGGAATGGGAGCACGCGCATTATATGTGCCTGCTGGAAATTGGAAGAGGAGCCGCACGGTGCACACGTGCATGCTGGGAAGATGACCTTCCAGTTTCCGGGGGGCGCACATGTGCCCTGGCCAGCTGGTCTCCGTGCACGCATGTGCACTGGAAACGGAAAGACCAGGTGGCCGGGGCGCATGCATGCGCCAGAATCTGGAAGATCGCCTTCCCAGCGCGCGCATATGCACTGAACGGGCTGCTCTTCTAGTTTCCGGCCTGCCAGAGGGGCCTTTCGGGGAGGCTGGCTGAGAATCTGGGTGTCGACTCATAAAAACATTTTTTTTTTAAATGGTAAATTTTAGAGTTGCCAACAGAAGGGGGGGGGGGAAAGGGGGCTGGAAAGAGCAGTGCGGCAGCTTGGAAATGGAAAGTGCATTCCATACATGGTTTTTCAGAGATTGTAACTAGGTGACTGAAGTTTCTGCCGTGCAAAATTCTAACAGGAGAGCATGATTGAGGACTCTGGGCTATGGAGGTGTCCCATTGGAGGATATGAATTACGATACACCCAGAGGGGTGGGGGAAAACCAGGGTCCAGAGTGACAGTGAATGATGTGTCACAGAGTCGGCTACATCCAGGCAGTGCTGGCATGTTTACTCCTAATAAATCCTTTTGAAGTTTTGGAAGTTTGGCTCGAGACTCAGGATTTAATTGGGGGGAAAACTGCCGGAATCCTGATTCTTGTTTGGGTCAGCTTGCAAATTAAGTGTGGGAGGAAGACTTGGAGCCTGGCAGGAGTAGGTGAACATACTAACTAAGTAAGGCATTTGCAGGCAGATTTCTTAACGAGAATTTAAAAGCCACAAGCAGTTCCATCGTGGGCTTTTAATACGACTGCAATTGAGCGCAGAGTTTCTGTTCTTAAGTGAGACATTTGTCAAGGGAGTTTTGCCCCATTTTAGGCAAGGGAGGTGGGGAAAGGGGTTTGGAAGAGCAGTGCGGCAGCTTGGAAGCTGAAAGCGTTTTTCAAAGATAGTAACTAGGCGACCAAAGTTTCTGCTGTGCAAAAATCTAACTGGAGAGCCTGATTGAGGACTCTGGGCTGTGGAGGTGTCCCATTGGAGGATATGAATTACGATACACCCAGAGGGATGGAGGGAAAAACCAGGGTCAAGGGTGACAGTGAATGACGTGCCTCAGAGTCAGCTACGCCCAGGCAGTGCTGGCATGTTTAATCCTAATAAATCCTTTTGAAGTTTTGGAAGTTTGGCTCGAGACTCGTGATTTAAATGGGGGTAACCGCCGGAAACCTGACACTGGGGATCTGGAGGTCCAGAACGACGACTCTGAAGAGCCTGCATTAATCCACGGGCTTCATTAAAAGCAATTTCCTCCATCCCGATGCTCCTTGGAAGTATGGGCTAACAGCTTGCCGTAAATTCAACGGATTTGGAAAGGCATCGTGACCGGGAAGGGATTCACGAAAAAAGTTGAAACACTGATGGGATATAGTTTCTCTTTCCTCCCCCCTGCACTGATGAGGTTACCTAGTTGGGTCATGAAACGTCTGCAAGGGGGAAAAAAAAGACGAGCTTAGAGAGCACCAAGGACCCTACCCCACTCCTCCTCCTCCTCCTCCTTTCCACTAGGACCGATGAGGTCACCTAGCTGGGTCATGAAACGTCCGCGAGCTCAGAGAGCACCAAGGACCGCAAAGTTCCCCCCTACTTATTACAAGATGACAGTAACGAGGAAACAAATGCTGAGTCCCTTAGAGCAAGGGTCTCCATCTTGGCCATTTTAGGACTCCCAGAATTCCTCAGGGGTGAGGAATTCTGAGAGTTGAAGTCCCCAAGTCTTAAAGTTGCCACGGATTGGGAGACCTCTGCCTTAAGAGCATCAGATGGAGTACGGGTCCTCTTTCGGATCGGCCATGGAACGGACATCTCACCGGTCAAATGAAAACTTCAGGAATGACTCTGGGGGTGCGGTGGGGGTGGGAAATGCACAGCCATTGCTTGTGCCCTGGCACTGCCTCCCCACACCAGGCCTTCAGGAACCCAAATACTGTAGCAGAGCTTTTAACAAAGCAAATAACAAGGAAAACTTCTCAACGAAGGTTGGTAGATGTGAGGGTGCTTGATCCGTCGAGATGCGCTGTCGTTCCGGGCATGGAGAAAGGAAAAGAAGAAGAAAATCTCTCTCTTTTTTGGCAGGAGGGGCGGGGGGGTAGTGCCAAAAGCTTCCCAGGGTACAGTCAAAGGTCTGGAGGCTGTTTTCCTTCTTGGACCTGTCGCTTCTTAGGGCTTCTTCGTTGATTCTACTAGGAGAACAGGCCAAATCCCAAAGAGGAACTGTTGGAGAGAAAGAGACGAAAATGGTTAGGGGCCAAGGAAATGGTTGGGTCAAGGAAAGAGGAAGGAAGGAAGGAAGGAAGGAAGGAAGGAAGGAAGGAAGGAAGG